CAAATTTGAGGCAACTAACGATCGTTCTATTCTTATAACGGTGAAGGCACAGAGACCCACATGTTCCACCTACCTTGTAGCGAGATGACCTTGACCATGCGGGGACGTGAAGGCTATTTTTAGCCTTCGGTTGAGGGGACTTCTAGTGATGTGGATAGTTGACAATGATTATTGGAGGGAGGTGGTGGCTCGGTTCTCGACTTTCTTCCACCGGACGACGAGGCTTCCAAGAAAAATAAGTGAGAAATTCAAGGCTATTTAATACTTGCATTGCTTTTCTGTAGCCATCGAGTCTCATTTTCTTTGGTCAATTTCAGAAAAAGTTCCGGTGTTTCGTCGTTCTAAATCACGGAGCGCTTTGATTACTTGGACCCACAGGCTGAGGAGGCTCAGATCGATAGGTTCGCTCGAGTGTGGCTCTAGCATTTTCTTAGTGCTTTCCTCTTCCCATACGCCTCGGGCAACACCATCAGCTGGATCTTCCTTGACATACTACGCCAGCCGTGGGAGAACATAGCGGCGTACAACTAGGGCAGCGTAGTCCTGGCATGGACGTATCGACAACTATGCGTCGCCTGCTGTCGCACCTCAGGGTATGCGAACCTTGGGGGTTGCTCGTACCTACTCCAGGTTTGGTGTTGGGAACGATGGCCCGTTGGAAGGCCTCTTAATACTAGTTTACCGGTAAGTATTTCGGTTCATTATATTCTTCGATATGGTTACATATGATGAGTTTATTAATGACTAATTCATTATCGTGTTCAATGCAGCAATGGAACGGGCAGGATACACTCCCTACAGCTTTGTTTGTCTGGATGGAATCAGAGTTAGTTAGATGGAATGCGAGGCGTAAGTACAGGGAGTACACGGACGGTCTCGACGTCCTAACACAGCACCAGGTTACGCTCTCTTTACTATCATACATGTGTCTTGTTCGATGTACACTATATCACAGCCTAACTCAATTACGAAATGTTCAGGTGCATTGGTGTCCTTGGGATGCTCCGGAGCTCCAGTACTATCTCAGTCCTGTCAATAGGGACGAGTCAGAGGAGTATCACTGCAACATTCCTCTTATTTTCTTCCACGTGGTGGAGATTCACTTGCTCGTCAGGGTCTGCAGACAGTTTAGAAGAATGACAGGCTGCCCACCACCGCTTTACTCCACCAACCAAGGATTGCACGGGTGCATTATCGATTAATAACAAAGCTACAATTCAGAGGTGTGTGTGGTACAACTAACATCGTTTTGTTGCAGGTATGACCGCAGGAAGAGGTACAAGACCAAGGATTGGCGCGTGACACACAACGCGCACATCCACTTGTGGGAGACCAGGGAACGGCAGCCGATCCATGCGGGTCCTCCACACGACCAGCACACCTTCGACGAGTACCTGCGCTGGCTTCATAGGTCTACGAGGACACATATCAAGCCCCTGTACACTGAGGAGACGATTGACGAGGACTCAGAGGAAGATGTGTATGACGTTGCCACTAGAGAGGACACACAGCTACAGAGAGCCCCGCTACAAAGATACGTGGTAAGATACTTAAATGGTACAATTTGTTATCCATTTGGTATTAAGTATGCATACTAAAACTGTTGAACCGCGTTTCTATACCCAGGCGACACAATTATCGAGGCTGTCCAACGAAGCAGCGTTCCGGCTTTACGAGTCTAGAGGGCAGGGCCAAGTGTTCTCGAGGTTTTTGTGGAGGTAAACATAAACTGGTCCATTCCGAAAATGTTTCTTTAGTATATATGCGTTTGGGAAATGCACTAACTTTAACGTCCATTTATGCAGAAGGTGAAGAAGAGCTGCAGGAAGCTAGCTCAAAAGCTGAGCTGCATGGACACTCCTTATGAGGAACCGTCACTCCCGGCGCGGTCGGGTGGCACGTCTTCAGCCTCTTTGAGAACACCAGCTAGTTCTTCTTAGCCGGTGATAGGTGCCACTTCCGCGGTGTGTACACCACCACATCATAGCGCTGGAAAGGACCCTGCAACCGAGGACGACGATGACAACGACGACGACCCCCCGGGCTTCCGTAGACAGCACGACCAGTGGGACGATTGACCATAGGATGAGATCGGCATGTCTCAGCTAGGTGGTGCCCCGCTTGATATCCAAGGAGTCTCACAGGTACTAACAAATGTAGTTTCTTTAAATACGTAGGCTACATGAACTAACGATCATAAAGAATTCTAAGTAATCGTGCATATCATATACTTGTAGGGTACGAGCCGTACGCATCGGCGACGCGACCACACCGACGTTGGCTACACTCCCAATGTGTTGCCAACAAATCCAAAGAGACAGAGACGTCCGAGGGATCCTTACACTCCTAGGTCTTAGCTTGTTAGGTCGAACTAATATTGGCGTCCGAAACTTGTAGGCTTAGTTGGTTATGTTATGTCGAACTTATGTCAAACCAATGAAAATGTTATGTGGCAGCTTATCAACTTGCGTACGGACTTCATTTATTTGCTTCATATTCGTTTCAATGCGTCGCGGCATCACTGCAGGCGAGATTAAGTAGCAACTAGTTTGGAAACCGGCAGTCCTGGGGTATCTCGACGCCAGGTTCCATGGTCGCGTCGCTACCGATCCTACAATATGGGGCCAAAAAAATAAGTTTTTTCCCTTAAAAAATATCCGTTTCAATCCGATCCAATTTTTCGTAGTCGATTAGTTAACATGGTGGTTAACCGTATTATGAAAAAAATCATTGGCTTATCAAATTCTCTATTCGGCCGTGAAAAAGATTAAACAAAAGACATAAACAAATCCACTATTGATTTTACGTCAAGCAATACCTAGAGTAACTCCCACTATCGGCGCAGAAAGTTTCGATTAAACTGTCCAGGTACTGCCGCGCCATGCTCCTTGGCGCGGCACTGCCGCGCCATGCATGGTGACGCGGCAAGCCCTGTCACGTCACCGGTCAGCGATATCGGTCGTCGCCACGTCAGCTCCCTATCGCGCCACCATGCATGACGCGACACAGGCATTTGGCCGCGCCATGGCAATAGTCGTGGCCAAAAGTGTTAGTTAAAAAAATAGAGTGTTAGATTTAAAATTAGTTTTCAAAAAGTGTTAAAATTAAAAAAAATCATTTGTGAGGGGGATTGTGCTCACCCCTCGAAGATCGCGAAGAACAACTCTAGTAGAGTGTGTCATTGAGCCACCCTCACTTTTTGGGGTAGGTTCTTACGGTGCCCGACGTGCGGTCTTGACGGGTGATGCCAATTAGCCGTCGAACCACCAAGTGAGTTGTCGACACAAAGGGAACTAGCGTGTTGGCAAACACGTGAACCTCGGGATAAAATCATCATGTCATCTTTGTCTTCCCGTTGGTTTGCAATTCCCTTACACAAGCTTTGTATTTACACTAGTGTTTGTGTAGTTGCTTTTGTAGTCAGTTAGCTTATGTAGCTTGCTAGTTACCTTTTTGCTTGTGTAGCATAGAAGTAGCTCCTTTGCGTGATTAATTTGGTTTGAGTAACCTTGTTAATTACTTTGCTTAGTTTGTGTAGCTAAGTAATTTGCGCTCTCTAATTTGGCATTAGTTGCCTTGTTATTGAGCATTGCTAGTGAGCTTAGGAGCTTTGTGATTTTGCTTACTAAGAATTGTATAGGAGCTCCCCTGGTTACTTGAGTACTAGTTGCATAGGTTTGTGTGATCTTGCTACTAGAATTGATTAGGAGAGCTCTAGCTAGCCTGGCACCGTTGTTGCCTAATTTGGATCTTTGTAAGGTGCCAGTGAACTTAGATAGAGAGGTGTAGTCTTGGCTAGACCGATAATTTTAATTCCGCATTTGTTTTGGTTAGCCGACGCGTTTAACTTTAGAAAGAACTATTCACCACCCTCTAGTCCGGCATCTCGACCCTACAACCATAAATAAGACTGAGTTGATAGAACTAAAGTCATTAGTTAACCCCAAATTTAATAGAGTATTGTCAACAATAGTACGCCAAATTTAGAGCATGTCAAGATTACATATAGGTTAAGGAAGTATGATAAAATAAAAAGTAGATGATTCAAACAACTCAGATTATGGAAGAGATTATACTAATCCTAGCCCTAAATTAATTATTGGAATCATTCCCCTTAAACTCGCTGATAGGAGGTTAAACTATTAAGCAATTTAACCAATAATAATATAACACACATATAACCTAGGGATTAAAAAATCTAGATTATTATTATCCAAATTCAATTTTTTATTCAAATTATAATATTCCTTACATGATCCAAATGGGCCCTTAGTATACTACTCCCTCCATTTTCAAAATAAAGTATGTTTGTCCTAAATCGAACTTATCTATTTTTGTAAAACTTATATAAATAATACATAAACATCTAGTACATAAAAAAGATACAATAAACCCACCACATAATATATTTTGATAGTGTATTTATTTACATATAGTAATATACTTTTTTTGTTTTAAATTTTAGGTCGTTTTAGTGTTGTATTAAGTCAAGTTTGTCTAGTTTTGACCCAATTTATAGAAACACATTCACATCAACAAAATGCACTAACAAAATAAATGTTATGGTGTATCAACAAAATTAGTTTCATATTGTACATGTTTGTGTATTTTTCTATAAAACTTAAGTCAAAGATAGATAAACTAGACTTATGGCAAAAATTAAAATGGAAGTATGTTTTTATAAAATTTGTCAAATAAGTTTGATCTATATAAATTTAAAACGAATCATAATTTGAATAGCAAACAAGCCTGAAAGTGGGGGAAAACATATTTGCAATATGCAAATTCTATAAAAATGCGCCCAGGATCGAACTACGAACCTTCAGTTTACAAGACTGACGCTCTACCACTGATATATAGGAGCAAATCCAACTACAATTTTTCATCCCGCGAAATGTGTAAGTAATTAACAACTCATAAGTACACGATATTTGAGAATTATGTACAGTATGCTTCATAATCAATTGATGGGCCGGGATTACATCAAGTGGTTCAGCTTTTCATGTGCGGCGGTGCGCATGCGAATGGTCACGAGCCGCCGAGCCACGGTCGTGGTCGTGGAGGGACGAATCCTCCTTCCTCCTGGCCCCGATCGAATGGGGATGATGGGGATGCCGGCGTTCACTGTCACTCTCACGGCTTATCCTCATGGCGTGCTCCACCTTGGAGCTGGCCCTCCTCGGGCGCAGGGACTGCCGAAGCCTGTCCTTCCTCCTCCCCCGCACCGACGCCGACGACGACGTCGACGACTCCCACCTGGACGACCTGCCCGCCGCGGCGCCCCCACGGTGGTGGGCACTGTAATCAGATGACGACGGCGACGGCGACGAGCCCCTGTAGTCGACGTCGTAGCTGCTCGTGCTGAGGTCCCCCAACTCGATGTCGTCGGGCTGCTGGCGCCGTTGGCCGCGCCGGCCGCGGTACACTCGCTCGGTGTCGCGCACCTTGCGCCAGAGGTGGTGGAGCACGCGGCAGGCGCCCCAGCAGGGCATGTACACCAGCTTGCAGGCGTTCTTGGCCAGGCACTTGACGACGCCTAGCTTGCATAGGAGGTAAAAGACGTAGAGCACTGCGCGAACAGGATTAATTAAGGTAGCAGAAGGAGGTTACATTTTTTTTTTGGATTGGAAATGTAGGGTGTGCGTGAGTGACTCACCGATGAGGACGAGTATGACAGCCAAGATGAACTTGAGGACGCTTGTGACGCAGAGGTGCTCGATGAAGCAGAGCAAGTCCCATGTCCCCGAGCAAACGCGCCTTTTTTTGCCAGAAAGAAAAGTAAAACGAGATCAGTAGGTAACAAGCGAAGGCAGGCGGCGTGGTAATACACCACTCTTGATTGTCTCGAGACGAACGTACTCGCAGGAGACACCGTTGAACGGCGACGAGATGACGTTCCCGACGAGCGAGCCGAGGCCGCTCGCCGCCGTGCCGATGACAGAGCCCATCGATCGATGCTGCCTGTATTGTACGCCGGAACCAACGCAAGGACCCTCGGAGCAACTGTCTGTTCGCCGATTGATCAGGGCTTCCGGCCAGGCGGTGCCGCGGGCGAGCGCAGACAGTTCCTCCCTCTCCCTGCAGCGGATGATCACAACCGGGCGGCAGGCGGCAGCGACGTGTACCGGTGCGGCAAGAACGGAAGGACGGAGGACGAACGCCCAACTGGCCGTAACGACGGCTATCCGGGGGAGGGACTCCAACCGGCGGAAGCCCCTGCCCCAGTGCCCCACTGACGTCCCGCGCTCTCGATCGGCGAGGCCATTAGTTGGCAGGCAGTTGCCGCGTAGACACAGACATGACGGTTTGTTGGGCTGGGCTGTATTGAGCCGAGCAAGGTGGTGGATTTGGAGGCCCAAATAAACGATGCGCAACTAGGTCGGTTAGGACGACCAGGGCGGCGGCCGCGTTCCGGGCTACTACTTCTTGCCGCTCGTGTAGTCGTGCTCCGTTCCGCACACGGCGACGGCTGGGAAGAAACCCCCAAACCCCTCTCTACGAACCACCTGCCGCCGGAAACCCTAGAGCGCCCGACCCATGGATCCGCAGCAGCCGGAGCCCGTCAGCTACCTCTGCGGAGGTAATCCTCTCGCCCCCGTATCTCCATCTGATGATTGGATTCGTTATCGGGCATCGGAATCAGGAGCGGCTTGCGCCCCTACTGGTTAATGAATCTATATAAATGTTAAAGCAAAGTTTGCGATACAAAGGACAAAAGAGAAAAAAATCATCCAGTCATCCGCTACTAGTAGCTTGTCATGTTTATCTTTGAAATGATTTTTCACCTCCTGGCTCCTAGGGATGAATTTGATTTTTCTTTCGTTTCTTGTTGAAAAAATATTATTGTTCTGCTTCAGATTGCGGAGCTGAGAACACCCTGAAGCCAGGAGATGTCATCCAGTGCCGTGAGTGTGGCTACCGCATCCTCTACAAGAAGCGCACCCGCCGGAGTAAGACCACATCATTCCTTCTCCTTTCATTCACATACGCGATTCCTTGTTTTCCTCGTCGGTTAGATTGAGGATAGAGCAAACAATTCTGTGTGTAAAGCAAAGACCGTCCTTTGTTATGGGGGTGCTGCCTAAAACATAATCGTTTTGACTGTACTGTCAGTAATATACCTTCCAAACCTAAAGGTTCAGTAATGTCGCAGGAAGGATTTTGCAAAGTAGCGGCATATAATGGATTAGATGGTTAGCTTATGAGTCACTTGTAGAAACTCAAAGACCGTATTATGAGTGATTGGTTAAGTGCCTAATCAGCTAGAGTTGTTTAATAGCATTGCTTCCATGTCTCAATTGTCTTTATAATTCCACTTCCTATATGATTGTTCTATAAGAACATTGGTGCCATCTTTTCCCCTCGAGTGCGGTTTTTCTAGCTTCTGTTTGCTGATATACAGTTTTGTTAGTAATCTTGTGTTTCTTCATGCCATGACTTCTCATGCCATTCTCTCTGAAACAATGTAACTTTATTGTCTTGAAGTCTTGATGCATTAAAAAAAAGAGAGGAATTGGTGCTATGATTAGCATATATGTGTATAGAAAAGAAAAATAATTGCAATACCAGTTACCTTCTATGAGGCAAGGTGAACTGAGTTCATTTGTTAAACCCTGATCTTTCTTATTTGAGATGCCAGCTATTTTTGTATTCCAGTTAAAAAAAAGCTGCTTATTACATTTCTTGTCCATTTATTATATTTTAGAACAAGGGAAACAAGTTGAGAAAATCAACTGCAGCTAGAAACTTTGCATGATTTAATGGATATGATATATGTTTGTTCCTGCTTAAAGAAACTCTGCCTGATTCCCAAGGGATCTTAGATGTTTAATTAGTTAATGCTGTGGTACTGGAGTCTTTTGTCTATTAAGAGAAATAACGCCTATATGAGTTTTATATGTCTGAAATTTTGGTGGACTTTGTGCTATGTTAACCTCCACACTAGTATATTTTGTAAGATGGATGTGTTTGTTTCTCTCCATCCTCCTTAGTTTTTATTGTGAAGAAAAGGTTTAATACTGCTTTGTGTATCGCTTTCTTTTCCACATTCTTCATTGTTTCGGTTTGTGTACTTCAACTCAAAATTCAAATTACCTTGCTAGCATGCTGTTATCTTTGCTGATTCCACTTGTAGATCTTCTGATGTATACAGCTTAGTGAGGCAACCAGTTTGTAGTCCTCATGGTGCACTTAGCTCATATATAGGATACTATGCTACTAACTTCTGGACACCATTGGTACCCTGTCCATTAACAGAAACTGTAGTGGCTTTGATAACAATATTCTTCTGTCCACAGTTACACTTAGATCACAGCAATTCATTTACCTTGTTGTCCATTAATTCTTAGTTACAGTCGTCACAAGTCATGAAGGTAGTAACCTAGTATGATGTGATGTGTTTGTAGCTATATATCTTAGGGGTATCTTACCACAATGAGAATATGCACGTAGCGCACATTTGCTTTCTTAAAAAAGAATATGTGCGCATTCACAAGTAATGATTGGTTTGATTATCGTTATACGTTGATAATGCTAAGTGCATAGTCCAAAAGTCTTCTCATTAACAATTAAATAATGACCTGCAGCTGTAGGCGATTATAAACATATATGTGGGATGTTTAAGACATAGTAGCAACTGTTGTTGTCATATACATTTCTCAGCCAATAAAAAATTCCTGCACAATCTAATTCATCTGAAATGGCAATTAGCCTATAGCTGTTAGTCCTTCTGAAGATATGTATGGGGCTATGACATAGTTGTTGCAGTACGTCAGTACGATACAATTGAACCTAATCGTTTATTGCTGACATTAAGGTATTGTATAATATCAAGGATGAAAACAATAGGCGTTATTGCTGACTTAGCTGACTGCAAATTGCAAAAATAATATGTTCAATATCAAGGATGAAAACAGGCATTTGCTCTTTTAGATATTGTACTGCTTCGGCTTCTCTGTTGCATTTGTTGTTGCTATAAAAGTATGGAAAACGACAATTATCATGCTTTTATCCTCTATATGGTAGAGGACAAACACAGCACAATACGTAGGAATGATTCTAGACACTGAAAATGGTAGCTGAATTGAGTGTGAAATTAGATCCCATGGTTGACAATCGTAGACACTGAAAATGGTAGTTGAATTGAGTGTGAAATTGGAGCTCATGGTATCAAAAAAAAAAAAAAAAATTGGAGCTCATGGTTGACAATTCTAGGAACCGGAAATGCTAGCTTTATTCAGTCTGAAGTTAGATGTCATGGTTGATCTATTAAACTGAATACATCTGCATTTGATTTGTATTTCTAATTTGATCTTTGTTCCAATGTGGCATTCCTCACCAAATGTTATGTTTCTTGTATAGTTGTCCAATATGAAGCACGCTGAGGAGTGAAGACAAGGGAAAACACTGAAGATGGTTGATCTATTACTCTGCCACTATACCTATGTAAAGAGTCTTGTGAGGGAAATGAAAATGTCAGACATACCTGTTCGCTTGGTCGTAAACGATCGTGGATTATAAGCCAGAACAGTATTTTTCTCTCACACCAAACTAGCCAGCAGTAATAATCCACGATCGTTTCAGCCGAAACGAACAGGCTGAAAATTGTTTGAATGTCGTCGTGTGCCTCCTTTGGACTTGAGCTTTAATCTGTAACGCTTGAACTGGGGATTGATTTGAGAATTGAGATACTGCAGTAATATGTTGATGGGTCGTAAGTGGGCGAATCTAATGCATGATATGCCTGAATCTAATGCATGCGTGTTATGCCTGCGTTATTTATTGACAATTTGTTTGCCGCCTATCCAAAAATCATGGGTGTTCAGCAGAGGCATCTATTTATACGGCTGGAATATTGCTTGTGTCCTTGTGCGTCGATCATCCATTCATTCAGAACTGATGAAAACTATGTGATGGGGCGTGATTCAGTTGTATCTTGTATGCTTGTACGGAGTGTTGTTACTCTTTATTTTTTGCATGTACATTGACAGATTTAGCCATTCATAACATTTTCGCCTAACATTTTCGCGGTATGGGGCGCCTTTCCTGTTGGCTGGAGAAAATGTGAACAAATGTAGGGACAGGTCGCAGGAGGCACGCGGATCTAATCATCGTATGCACCCAAGCAGTCCACTGCGCGCCGTACCTGTCCTCCACAACAAGCTGTCGCCCGCGCGTCACGGCTTTACGAGCGATTCCCGCGCACCCCTCGCCGCTGTCCTGTCTGGCTGCCATGGAGGTAAGCGTATCTCAAATTACAAGACATTTTGGTATTTTGAGATTTATAATTTTTGTTATGCGTAGCAAAAAAAAAAAAAATGAATCTAGAAAAGTCAAAGCGTCTTATAATTTGGAACGGAGGAAGTAGCAGCTAAAATTAGTGCTAGTGGTTTAGCTGAAGGGTCGTCAACTATTAGTTCTATTAGCAGGTTTATAGTTATAAATAGGTGCTAATAGTTTATATGTACCTTTGATTCATTATTTAACCATCTATTATCCAAACGCTACTTTACTAAAAATTAGCTAGCTAAAAAATAACAGCTATTAGCTATTAGCTAGCTAATTTTTAGTGTAAATTGATCCAAAACATGACCTTAGAGTGGAGAGAGTATAATATAAGAGTTATAGTTAGCCCCAACAAATTACTCATCATGTCTCCTATTCTATCTCTAATATCTAAAAATTTGAATTATATTGATAAGAGAAGAAGAAAAAGATGATACTGATGAAAGAAGATCACCTATGTAGACTTCTTTTTATAAGGATTTTATTTAAGAGATGTAGATAGATAATCCGTTGGTGAGCTGGAGATGGTTAAGGTACCGGAAACTGAAAGCGTATGGCTACGTGAGACACCGCGGCCCCGTCACGCGGCGCGTCAGACAAGCCGGAGTAGCTCCATCAATCGCTGCCGCAGCGTTGCAGTGCGTCACGCTCACGCGACACGCACCGCTCCGTCTCCTCTGCCCCTTCTCCTTCTCCAGCGCATACGGATACGGGCTTGGTGTCGGTGACAAGCACATACGCAGCGCGGAGGTTCAGGCAGGACGCAGCGCAGCGCGGAACCACCAAGGATGGCGCCCGAGATTCAGAGCCTGTTTCCGAGTTCGACGGCCGTGCTCCTCCTGCTGGGCGCCTGCCTCTCCGCCGCCGCGGTGGCAGCGCTCGGTGCCGCGGACGACGCCAGCAGGCCGGCGGTGCCTCTGCCTGGTGGAGGCGCCCGGCGCGTCCTCTTCGCCAACGGGCTCGGGCTGACGCCGCAGATGGGGTGAGGAACGAAACCAGCACTCCGAATTCAGATGTGCATGCATGCGATGCGTGGCTTCCGCCGCTCCCGGCTGTGGTTTGTTGTCTGAGCCTTTTACCGTGGGTTTTTCTTTGTGTTTTGTCGTCGCTTTTCGCAGGTGGAACAGCTGGAACCATTTCCAGTGCGACATCAACGAGGCGGTCGTCCGGCGCACCGGTCAGTCAGAGACCACCACCCCAATCAGCTCGTATCTGAAATCACCAGCGCCATTGGTTTCTTTCTGATGATATGGCTATTGCTCACTGATTCGCTGTTAACTTGATTCACAGCTGATGCGCTCGTCGCCACCGGACTTGCAAAGGCTGGCTACAAGTATGTCAACTTAGGTAGTGTATTCTATACATATATGCAGAGTTCATACTTCATACGTGTTGGATGTTATCATAGTGTTCGGTGTCACTGAAAGATGACATTGCTATTGCAGATGACTGCTGGGCGGATTACCAAAGGACCAAAGAGGTAGTACGAGTGCTAGTTGATTTTTTCGTCAGTTACTTTCAGTTAAATTCTTGCACTGCTGAACATTGATCCAAGCACGATCAGTTTGACTGCGACCTGCCAGAAGTCAATAATTTAAGAAATTGGCTTGGCTAACTGACTTTCTGACAGGGATACATGATCGCTAATCCCAAGACATTCCCATCCGGAATCAAGGCCCTGGCAGATTATGTTCACAGCAAGGGGCTTAAGCTTGGCATCTACTCTTCAGCTGGGTACGTTCTTTTATTTTCCCCTTTTCCTTCAACAAGTTCGGTCGGCTCTTTTTGATTCAATCAAGTGGGAATAAGTTCACCCAGGCTACCTCATGCCCAAAAGCTTACAAGTTTCCACTGCAAATCCATGTTGAACTAAAACCGGACTGCCTTCCGTAAATTTCAGGACAAGAACTTGCAGCAACAGGATGCCTGGATCTCTGGGCCACGAGGACAAGGATGCTAAAACGTTTGCATCATGGGTACATACACATGCTACTACAGATGTTCAGTCTTTCAGACATCTGATAGCATTTGACTAGGACTTGCGGTTTCAGTTCACCAGTAGAATTTTAGTCTACTACCAGTATCAGTTACTCTTCTTCTATTATATATAGAGCAAAAAAACAAAAAGAAGCAACCTTACCTAGTTACTATATATCGTTTCTTCACTCGACGCTTGACCATACGTGTCCAGGGTGTTGACTACTTGAAGTATGATAACTGCTACAGAGACGGCACGCCTGAAACCGTGAGGTGCACATTCTGTTTATCTGCACATTCAGTTCGTGTACCATTCTTGTTTCTTTCAGATGTATATGTAGCGGGCAGCTGTAAATTGTGATGCAGGTTTGGGCGCATGTCTCGCGCGCTGAAGAACTCTGGCCGCCCCATCTTCTACTCACTTTGCGAATGGTGTGGCATGCATCCCTTTGCCTTCTTGGTCTTCTCTTTTTGCTTGAAAAAATGCACCTGAGCTGATGGTTATTTAACTTCGTCAGGGGCTACATGGAAGTGCCCAAATGGGGCGGCATGTACGGCAACAGCTGGAGGACCACCGGCGACATCATCGACACATGGTCAGGGTAAGTGACGCTCATCAGCTCTTCGAGTACGTAGCTAGTAATTCTCTCGCTGATAACTGATTGGGTTAACTTGTGGGTTCTTGCGACAGCATGCTGGACAACATCGACCGGAACGACGCCTACGCCCGGTACGCCAAACCCGGCGGTTGGAACGGTCAGTTCGTATCGTCCACGTCTATCTCTGTTTAGCTTCCTGGATGAAATGCATACGGATTCGATCCATGAGGTTTTCCTGTCAGCTGATCAATGGCTTGCTTCTCTCCCACACAGATCCTGACATGCTGGAGGTCGGGAACGGAGGGATGGCGTACAACGAGTACGTCGTGCACTTCAGCCTGTGGGCCATCGCCAAGGTGCGTGAATCATTTCCAGGCTCAGGCTCAGGCTCATAAGAAATGAGCGTCTGTCCGACTCTCTGTGTGCTGACAATTACCGGTCGAATTCTTGGCGCCAACCTTTGACAGGCTCCTCTTGTAATCGGCTGCGACGTAACGAGAGTTTCCAAGGAGACGCTGGGGATCCTCTCAACGCAGAGGTCATCGCGATTAACCAAGGTCATCACAACACAATTAATGCATCTTCGTTCTCATCAGCAAAATCTTTTCACATTAAGTAGTTCAAGTGTTCAGTTCTTTCTACTCACGCACGAGGAAAAAGTTCACTTATTGACTCGTCTTCATGTGTGCCAATTGTGTTCGGCGCAGATCGGATGGGTGTCCAGGGAAACAAAGTGAAGAAGTATGGCAACGATCTCGAGGTACAGAGATAGTATCTACCAAATCGATCGTCATCGCAAGCAGCACGTCTCGCTCGGGTAGGAAATCCTGAATCCCGTGGCGTTTGATTATATTGCAGGTGTGGGCGGGGCAGCTCTCCCGCCACAGGAAGGCGGTGCTGCTGCTCAACCGGGGGGCGACGCGCTCCGCGTCCATCACCGCGGCATGGCCGGACGTCGGCATCCGCCGCGGCGTCACCGTCGAGGCCAGGGACGTCTGGAAGGTACGTGAATGCGTGGTGGCTGGTGGACCAGCCGCTGGCCATTTCTCCCGTTCCGCGCATCCGGGCCGAGCTAGCTTGCCTGCCAGATATGCATGTGGCTCGAATTCATGCAAGCTTATGGTTTATGATTCATTCATCTGCAGCATGAGACGCTCCCGGGCAGGTTCACCGGTAGCCTCACGGCGGTGGTCGGGCCGCACTCGTGCAAGCTCTTCGTCCTCACGCCCGTTCCTCGCTGACGACGGCGCCGCAGGAGATCCATCCATCGATCTGCCTAGAAATTAAACCTGTGTGATTTCAGATTATGGTGCAACGCTCAGTTTGGCTCAGATTTGAGATCGAACATGGCGAATAAATTAGACCAACAACTTCGCTACCCTACTCAGTGTGTGCTCGCCACCATCGAAAGAACAAAACAATTCAAATCTTTTAGCGTCGTTTTCCCAAAAAAAACAAAATTTTAGCTTGAACGCTAAAATCTTTGTTTTTCAAGGTGCAACCTACCTCCTTCGATCCATTCAGCTTTGTCCAAGCTTAAACCTTTACAGTTTGGTCAACAATTTCAAAAAAAATGTACGTTGGAGAAAAACAATTACTATTTTTAATATAAAAAATATTTTGATAATATTTTAATTTTTTAGTATTATTATACTATGTGTAGACATATTGCTAGGCCAGATCCCAACGGGAGAGGGCAGATCCCGGTGGCCGGAGGCCGGATCCGGTGGGAGAGGGCGGACGTGGTGGTGGCGGACTTGGTGGCGGGCATGGTGGCAGCGGTAGGCGTGGTGGCGTCCTGGTGGCAGCGGGCGGCGTGGTGAGCCGCGTGCGGCTTTTTTATATATTTTTCGAAATTTTTTTGCAGAGTGTCGGTTTTAGCACTAAAACACTCGGCAAAGAAATCTTTGCCGGCACTGTGTACGTCCGAGTGCCGTTTGCCGAGTGTAACACTCGGCAAACGCTTTGCCGAGTGTTTTTTTAGGTTTCGCCGTGTGCCGTGGACACACGACAAACCTAGCCATTCCGGTAGTGATGCTTTACCTATCTATCTACATATTGGTAAACTTAATCATGGGTCATCCGACCCGATCTCAGTGGATCAGATCATAATTTACAACCTATGATCTGACCTGACCACACATGAAAAAATCCAACCTAAAGTAGGCAAATTTGAAAGAAAAGACCCTGAGAATTATAGCCTAACCGGCCTGTATGTCGGGTCGAGCTCGTGCCGAAGATTTTGAACTGATATATTTTTCCGGCCCAACCAGACTTGTCGTTTGATCAAGTCTGCATGTAGGATGCTTTGGAGCCTTGCAAATAGAGGTCATCGTAGCTCACAAGTCCAACTCTTTTGTGTCGTTACTTTTGTTGGAATCAATGATGGTCTGGGGAGAAAAACCTTAGCCTCATTTGTCTTAGCTATCACCTGCTATTGGAGAGGGAGAAGGAGCATAACACAACACAAACACAATGTGAGAGAAAAGGAGGAATTTGACCAGCTTTGATGGCAAGGTTATTTTCAAGCTTGTGATCGTAAGTTCAAAGATCTAACATTGATCTAGTCAGTTGGTTTGAGGATTATTGGTTGAGTAGGGCATTATATTTGAGAGGGATTGGTTGGTCCAAAGTTATTATTGGAGTTTTCGAACGTATTAGTTCTGTTGTATACTTGATTTGAGTGGTGAAATGGTGTGACATATCAGGTTTGGTATAGTTGATTTGGGTGGTGAAATGGTGTTCGACTGAGCTGAAACTTTATCAATGGTTTGGGACTCAGGAGCAACATGCCTACCCAAATTTACGCACACTGAAGCTATAGTTTATGAGATACGAACCAATTATTGAGAGGATAGAATATGTGACTTTCATTTTGTCTATTACCATTCCTCTTATTAGATGGTTGTATGTAGTTGTTGTACTTGATGCCAAGTTGCAACTTAATGAATGTGTTGTTGTTGTAATGCTCTACATGGTCTAGAGAAGACCCCTTATACCTATTATTGACTAGTGGAAACTTAGGCCCTATTTGGTAGAGCTCCTAGAGCTGATTCTCTATTGAATCTAGCAGGAGCTCTGCCAAACAGTTTTCTAGAGAAGTGTTTCTCTGATGATTCTTTGAGTGATTATCTGAAATGAACTAAGAGGATGTGTGCTGAAAAAAGTAGCTTCTCCTAATTCTGTGAAATGATTCTCTATCGTGATTTTGAGAGTTTATGCTAAAGAACAAAATAGAATCACTTTTAGCCATAAAATCACTTCTGTTAGTGAATCAACTCCCATAGAGGGATCGAGCCGTAGCTCGAGTGGCAAACGCTGCAGGTGGTGCAGCAGCCGGTCGTGGGTTCGAGCTCTGCTCGACTCACGATCCCCACCAGGGTTTTCCCCTTATTTAACAGGTGCAGCCTCTCTCGCGTGGAGCTACAAAGGGATTGCGGCGCGCCCGTCGTCTACGGAGCCTTGGATGGTTTCGGTGATCTCCTCAAGGACGCGATCTTGGAATATAGGTGTAGTTGTAGGGTCTGTTTGTGTACAAGAGGTGTGAGTGATGTGTGTGTGGTGTTGGTGTGTGTCTGGATGAGAGGCGCAAAAAAAAAACTCCCATAGAGAATCAAAATCAGATAGGGCTCTACCAAATAGACCCTTAGAGTATAAGGATTTTTTTTCATAAATCACTATGTCAACTGTGCATGTGATTGTTAAAATTCTACTATTGATATCATGGTAGCCCCTCTCCTCATTGTTCATCACAAGATGAGGATTTATAGTGTATTTATGTTGTCGTTTTGTCTTAACATTTGTTGCCTTTAGAGCAGCTGTAGCGTTGGTGAAAATTAAACAAACCATAAACATCAGAGTAGATGAATTATATTTGTTAGAGCGAAAATTGACATTCAAACTCTGTTTGACTTACAGAGAATAAAGTATTTATCTGAGTTTAATAGCTAGTTTTCATTCTCCATCCACACCGAAGAAAGATTAGGAAGAAGAGAAAAAAAATCAAAATCACAAAGATAGCCAACATTTATTGTGATTGTTGAAGTACGTCAACTTGATTACAATATCTGTCAAAAAATACAAGCTTTGGGTGACTTGGCGGTACATAAACGTAAGCATAGCATAATGTCTTTGGATAACCATAGAGAGCCGAGCATTGGCTATATTAATTAGGGTTGCCAAATGAGCTTTTTTTTTCACCAAACGTGTTGACAGGTGAGATTAATTAGAGAGGCTAAGGTGATATTCTATAACAGAGATCAAAATAGGGTTGTAAACTTTTTGAGACACATGCTTGTAAAATATCACCCTTCCATTTTAAAATCATGCACTGAGAGTATATTTTATTATACATTCTGTTATTAAATAATACGCTGAGGAGATGCATGGTTTTTTCACCATATTTTTGAAAATAAATAAAAGGGAATAAGTAGCGCCCAAACGTCTGGCCCCAAGCCCGCGTCCAAATACAGCCCCGCCACACCCTGTCATGTCCCCCGCGTAACAGAGTGTCCGCCGCGCCCGTGTAATAACGGAGCCCGCCCGCCCGCCGCGCTCACAGGGGGCCTCAACATCGCCGCGCCTGCGTCACCTGCGGCGTGGCTCGCAGCAAGCCGGTCGTTCTGCATAGCCAGGTTCTGCATCTCCCCATGTTGTGCCACAAGCTTCTACTCAAGGACCTCCAGCGGGGCCAGCGGAGGCAACATGTCATCGGGCCACGTGCGCCAGCACAGACGTGACCCTGTGCGTCCTCCGGTGGAGCGCTGCCGCCATCTTACCAGCCAATGCCGCCATGGTTCTTGCGCTAGCTCTCTCTACCTCGCTCAATAGCCCTACATTGAGATCTACTTTTGCAACACTCAACTGCAACATACTCCCTCCGTCCCACAATAGAAGTCGTTATGGGATGCATGCTGGTGAAACTTTCTCAACTTTGACTAGGTTTGTAGAAAATGCGTGCAACATTTATATCTCCAAATAAGTTTATTATAAAAGTATATGTCGGTGTTTCGAGTAAGCACCGGCTAGTAAATTTGTATATTGTGCGTCTGACCCGGATGGTGTGCTAAGAGGACACAAGGATTATACTGGTTCGAGCCGAATGTCCCTACGTCTAGTTTCGAGCTGCTCGTGTTACTAGCACTGAGTTTGTAGTAGGGGGTTACAAACTGGCGAGAGAGGGAGGTAGCTCCCAAGTCTCTGGTGTGATGTGGTATGTTTGTCCGATGACCCGCCCTGTGACGAGTCGATGTCCTTAGTGGGACGCTCTGCTTTCCTTTTTATAGGCTAAGGGAAAGCAGGGGTTACAGCCGAAGGGAAGAGGAAAAAAGGAAAGAGAAATAAGGCTCCCGAAGGTGCGCCGTTCTCCTCTTCGCGTGGGTCCCACTGACTCTGTATATCGTGGTGACAGCGGCGTCGTACCGGGGTCCTGTTGGCCACTGCAGCTTACGTGCGGGCGTCATGCGCCATTCTTGTCTTCCGTCCCATTCGAGTGGACGGAATGGTCAGAGGGTCCCCTGACAGAAGCCATGCGGGGGGGGGGGGCAAGCGGTACAGTGCCAGTCAACGAACGCCGGTTGACTGACTTTGGACGGTGGTCGGACAGGGAGTTGGCAGCACAGTGCTGGCCTGTTGACGCAATGGGCGATGTGAGTTTCCCCGTATGGCCCGATGCGACCGCCAGTCGCAACAGGACACGTCCGAGATGTGCTCCCGGGCGTACGCTTCCATGCTGTAGTGGTTGAAGCTGTTCGAGCCCTACCCTGGGACCACTGCTTTGGTCCGATAGCAGATCCGATCCCCAAGGATCGGACATGGTGGAAATCTCTCCCTGGGATACGGGCGAGATGGAATCCGACCACGGGGGTCAGACGTGGTGGGGCCCTCCCCGTGGGACCGGACGAGGCGTGTCCCAGCCCCTGGGGCTCGGACGATGCAGAAACCTCATCCTCAGCGTCGGACAAGGCGGGGCCCAGCCCCTGGGGGTCGAACGAGGCAGAAACCTCATCCTCGGCGTCGGATGAGGCGTGGCCCGGCCCCTGGGGGTCGGACGAGGCGGAAACCTCATCCTCGGCGTCGGACAAGGTGTGACCTAGCCCCTAGGGGTCGGACGAGGTCGTAGTTGTGTCTTTAACCATTGGATGAGGCGATGTGACGCTCTTTAATCCTTTGGCTCGGATACCCGGGTATAGATATCCGACAGTAGCCCCCGAGCCTTCGGAGGAGTGAGACACTCCTGCAA